CAGGCGACCATGACATTCTGCGCTAGATATCCTTTTCTGCATCTGTAAGCCCCCTGGTGACCATGTGTAACCCATGCTGGTATTATGGTGCCGTCAATTGCGCCGATGCAATCCTATCAGTAACGAGAGTTAAATGTTAGTGAAAAGCAATGGAAGAAGTAAAATCATACGACTACAAAAATTGTCACCTTGAAATACGGATACAAATTGTTATTATTGCGTATCCAAGCCGGCACCCGATTCACGTCTGGGGGTAGGATGTAGTCCGGGCCCATATCAGCGAGGGCGGTTATAATGATATGACAATGCCGTGAAATAGTTTCAGTAGATCGTCTGAATGTTTCAGCTGAATGCCTATGTCGTTGATGTCCTTTTATTGTCTGCAAAAAAATACAAACACTTTCTTGAATGCAAACTTTTCTTTGCTTGAGATGGCCATGAATTCCTCTCCTTTGCATTTCTTCACATAGACGATGGAAAACTTGTTTGTCGACACCTATAGCGTAGTAAAATCTCCTAGGGTTCCCCTGTAGAAGCTCGTTTACCCATTGCATTCCCGTAATGCTTGACTCACGGAAGGGTTTTCTCTGGCACCGTTCGAATGTTGACGGAGAGCTTTCCATAAGTCGCACGATTTTTTGTAAATGTGACACAAAAATAGTGCCTAATTTAATTGCTCGTGCAATTTTAGGAGGGCGCCTTTTCACATCTTTGTCTTGTACAATATTTTCATCCATTTCATCGTTTGCTTCGAAAGTCCAGGTGGATTCGTCTTCCGTCTCCATAATGTCGTCTACGTCGTCATATCCATTAGTGTCGTTTATGTAAGACATTCTACAAATCATTTTAATTGAGAATAGAAATATATGTAATGATACAAGGCAAATAAAATATAAAAAGAAAATAATGAGGGAAAGAAGCAGTCCAAGCAACTCCTAAAAAAAGCAAGCACACAAAAATGTTCAATACACAACCCCTATAACAGCAAGTTTAGTTAATGAGTGAAAAAGCAATCCAAGCAAATAAAAAGCAACCACAGACAAGTTCTCAGATAATCATATCGCAAACAAAGATTCTTCGTCTCGTCGTCACCCACTTCCAGCACCCTCCTCAACCGAAACCTCCACAAGTAGGCGTCGTTTCCGATCATTCGCCATGTTCAGAAACATATGACGAGCCATCGCATCTGGTATCTTCTTCAAAGCAACCTTGTAGGCAGACTCGGGAAGCTCCATAGCATCAAGTAGAAGCAGCGCCTCCTTCTACTTCTTTTGATCCGGTTGCTCCTCCTTCAGACGTGCTAGCGTGTAACTCATGTCTCTCACGGACTCCTTCATAGAGTGGAGTACAGATGTTGATTCGCCCATTCTTTGCTTCTGTTTGTTCCTTCCACTTGTTTCGTAGGACTGCAGTGACAACATATCCTCGTCCTCTCCAACGGAATGCAATGGCCTACTCCGCTGACCTGATTCTTCATGCCCACCCATGCTTCATTGAACTTCTCCTCGCTGAGTCGACGCACGCGCATAGCGGCCAGTTGCGGTCGAACCAGAAAAGATGGTAGTTAATTCTTCGTAGTGTACGCACGTCTTCCTCTTCAGATCATGATCTTGATTTCTCTGCGTCACGGAAGGAGAAAGAGGAAAACACACAATTCATGAATTATATGAAACAATTACAGAAACAAGTAGATAAGAACAACATATATAATCAACCAAAACAAACAACAAAAAATAATTTTTTTTTTAAAAAAAAAAAACCAACAAATGCCCAACCTCATGTAACTCAGCCTGTGAAGAATAAAAAAGATAATTTTTTTTTTAAAAAAAAAAAACCAACAAATGCCCAACCTCATGTAACTCACCCTGTGCAGAATAAAAAAGATAACCAAATCTCAGCCTGTGAAGAATAAAAAGAAAAAACCTGTTGTGAATATGTACTAAACCAAAAATAGTAGCATGCCTACTCATACACTAGAAACAACAACTTCATTCTTCTCAGCACAGCAAGTTCATACACAACCAACCGTTCTGGGACATAAAAAATGGAAATATACCTAAACAGAGGACATTAATCTATATAACGTAGCATCTTATATAATTATTAATACCGGAAGTAGCATCATATTTTATGTGATTTTTCTAGCAGCAGCATAATATACCAATTTAATTGCAAGCAGAGAGTACGGGTGTGCATTAAGTTAAGAAATAATCAATAAGCGGTGAAGTTAAGTTGAAACACAAGTACTAGTATACACTTTCAACAACAGTCATGGATCAAATTGAAAAAATGAACTTTAAGTTGAAATGGAACTTACAGCGCACCACTTTTCCCAAGCTTTCTCATTGCCCTTGATGGCACCGCTCGCTTCATCCCAACCGAAACCCGTTGCATTATTACGCAAGTTGTAAAACCTCGCCCACGTATTTTTTAGCCGTCTGTACTTACTTTCAACTTGCCTTGTGTTGTACTTATATTTCATCAGGCAATTGGCATTGAGTTTCTCCGTCATTTGCACCCATTGTTGTGGAGTGAATTTGCCGCCGACGCAATTTCCTTCAAGAACCTCATCTAACATGATGTCAACGAAGCATTTTTCATTCTCCGAGGGCCATTTGGCTTCACCTTGGGAACAGTTCCCATAGTCTTGTTCATAACTCATGGACATTTACAATTTCATACAACTCACATATGTGTTCCAATGACTTTTATTTTCAGATTATTGTTGTGTCACAAGGTTGCAGATATAAACCGGTGAACCCAATATAAGAACAATACAGAGAAAAAAGAGAAAAGCTTAAGTAATTATTCACCAATATTAACAACATAGCAATGAGTGGACAGTAATAAATGAAGTTGAAAAATGAATGTGAAAATAACCATGTCCGTCTGCGGGGACACAGATTTCTTCACCAACGACAAATTGAAGTTGCACAAAAACCGTTCATAAACCTTGTGAACGCTCGAACAGAGTAGACCCGAAAATAGTGTGGGCGAAATACCCAATTACAAAACCTATTCTTCATGTCGAAAATTCCTAAAATTAGTTTTACCTTTCTCTTCTTTTTTTTCTCCGGCGAATTCACAGAAACGCTCCCCGTGCTTTCCGTATTCTCCCGAATAGCGGCTTCACCAACTTCGGTCGATATGCGGAGGTGTAATTGGTCATTGTTGTGGTGCTTGCCTCTGGTCGCCGGCCCTCTGCCAACACTGCCGCCGTGAATCGGAGAACCAAAGAACGAGGTCGGGTTACGAAGAGGTTCTTCCTCAGGCATCAAAGCTTGAAATCCATTATTTATTGGTGAAGAAGAAGGAGTTTGTGGGAGATTCGCCATGTTCTGTGTGGGTTTTAAAATGAAGGAGGAGATGTTTGCATTGAATCGAGAAAATTGTTAATAAGACATTGCAACTGATTTTTAATTTGGAGTAAATATAGCTTTTACAGCTGTAGAAATGGTTTGGCCGACAAAACCAAATGCAACCTTCATATGGGACCCGCTAAGTTAAAAAGGAATTTATATCCAAGCATAATTTCTACAGTGAAATCTGAAATTTTCCGAACAAAACTTGTATCCAATCAACTCCTAAGTAACTTTCAGAAAGATAATTTAATTGGTTTTATGGACGGTGTTGAGGAGTGAGAATAAGGGTGTGCATAGTTCGACAAAAATTGAATAAATCGATCGATCAAAAATTTCGATTCGGTTTTCATGTGACTCAGTCGATATTTTTTTGTTATTTCGGTCGGTTTTGGTTTTCGAACATCAAATGTCAGAAATAACCGAACCGATCGATTAGATATATGTATATAATATTTTATTATATTATATAGTAAAATATAAAATTTCGTCACTAACCATAAAAACTAAAAACATAAGTTTGTCTCTTTAATCCCTAAGCTTCTGTTGCTCCATCCAAATAGCTGCTCCGCCGCAACCGCGAATCGTCCCCAAATCGTCTGCTCCGCCTTAAATCGCCCCCAAATTGTTTACTCACTCCAAATCATCCTCAAATATGCGATTGTCATCCAGGTCTCCAAGAAGCCTGCGTCTACGTGTAGTTCGGTCCGGTCAAGGAACTCCTTGACGCCAGTCGTTGACTCATTAGTCAAGAGGCGCTGAGCTTAGAGGTGTCGGTCGGGTACACGGTTGGAGGTGTCGGCCGAGCACAATGTTTTTAAGCTCATTTTAGGTATGTTTTGAAGGAGTTTTGCTGCTGTTTTTGGGACAAAACTCTAGTTGCTTCTAGGTTCTTTTCGGGGCTGCTTTGGAGGCCTTTTTTATTTCTATTCAATTACTGTTTTGGTCTGTTCTATTGTTGTTTTCGGTTGTTTTATTGCATTTTCTGGGACAATTGAACGGTTAATTTTCTGCTTTTGTTGCAATTTTTGGGATGTTTGTTGCTATTTTTTAAGGATAATTGAAATGTGTTCCGAGGCTCTTGTTTTTAGGTTTGACTTGTTGGATTTGGATATGGAATTGTTGTAATGTTCTTTGGATGTGTTAAACTTGGATTGTTGCTTTTGTTATGTGTTAAATTTGAATTGTGCTGCTGTAAATTTGGAATTGCTGTAAAAGTTCGGTTAACTGACCGAACCGACCGACTAATTCGGTTCAGTTAAAATTCGATTTTCACTCCACATTTTAGTCGGTTCAGTTTTTGAAAATTTTCGAGTCGGTTAGTTCGGTTTTTGTAGTTCAGTCGACCGAACCGACCGATGAACACCCCTAAGTGAGAATAGTGAAAGAGGCAAGGGTTGGGGTTTATTCTAGGGTTTATCATGGGTCTTTTCCCAGTATATTCCTAAGCCCATTTTTATTTTTTGTTTAGACTCTATGTTTTTTTTTTTCTTTTCACTACCTAAGGTCACTATATTCTTTCACTTAACTCCCTACTTCTAAAATAAAATATAAATAAATTAGAAAAATCTCATCACCCCACTACAACTAACATTCTTTATTATTTTATTATTTTTCTTTTATCTTCTTCCACATACAAAACTAAACCCTCCCACTCCCCTCCCGATTGTCATTTCTACTTCCTGACTTTCTTATTTTTTCTTGCAGGTTCAGCTCTCCGGTGACAAGAACTCCGGCAAAAGACGTGATCTGCGATGGACAGACGTCAAATTTTCATCTTTCCCTGGCAAAAAAAATCATCTTTTTTCGGCAATATTTGAACTTTGCACTTGACCACACATAATTCACGTAAGCCTTAAAATTTGAACTTTGCACAAAAATGCATTAAATGTAAGCTCTGATACCACTTGTTGGGATCTATAACGTCGTCACTAATGTGCAAGTTACAAATTTAACTACAAATATACCTATGCGCAACAGATCTATAGGTAAAAGTAGAAGACTCACGGTTTATTATTTTTGCCGACTCTAAGACATTGTAGATTTTCTTTGGAGGAGATCTTCTGATCATAAACTTCGTTGGGCAGCTGGATCGGCCTTCACAAGACGATCGTGGGTCGCTGTGTGCGGACGAGAGCAAGTGGGTCGCGTTTGGCGTCAGGATACGCACCTCGGGTCGTCTGGTGTCGAGCGGGTCGTAGAGATCTCACGGGAGCACGGCATCGGGAAGCTACAGGTCTGCATCGCCGGGTGCGAGGATGTCGCAGGTCGTGCAACGTCACCGGGAGCATCAGGCGTCGAATCGCTGGCAGGGCGCGCGAAGTCGTTGCAGGTCGCACGGGCGAACACATGTCGCAGGCAAGGCGTCGCCGGGTGCAGCACGTCATCTCCAGAAGCAGCGAGGCGGTGTCAATTGGTGTTGCGATAGAGCAGGTCGTCGAGGGCGTCTCCGGTGAACTCGGGTCGTCTCGCGCGATGGTGCTCGGTGGTGATCAACGGTCGATGGTGGTCGGGTGCTCGGGTGCTTAAGGCCTTCTATTGAATTACCTAACATTTCTATGACTCCCTTGATGGGAAGGATAATCTAGATATCTCTATGTGTGTTATGTATTGCAAGACTAGATTAGATGTGCATTTATAGGCTTCAATAAAGACCCTAAGGAGGCAATAATTGCGCTTCTCCTATTAGGAAAATACTATAGGCCAAGCTTACCAAGCCTAATAGGAATAATACAGTCATTCCACTAAAGTATTATTATTGAAATACTCCAAATTTAATTACCAAATTACGATTTGAGCTCCACATTCTAATAAACCCAAATTACCTCCACATGTCTAAGATATAATGTTTGTTAATTTACTTAATTACTAATAATTAAAATTAACCGACTTCTAGAACCAAAGCTAGCATCGTTCAATCATTATTATTATGTCGGAATTTAATCCACCTGCAGGGTTTAACATAATAATCCTTCTGAACTCACTTCGGGGACATCATCAAACCTCAACTATGTAAAGTACATGGTGACCGTAAATATTATAACAGAACACAATGACATGTAGGAATAACTACCCAACCCGGATAATTATTGGTCCATATTAATAAACCTCACTTTGCTGAATCAAAGCAGTAATTACTACATAAATGTGTTTGTTTATATCTTATAGGTTAAGAGAACGCAATAATTAGCCAAGACCTAGTACGTTTACGCCGATTAGTATAAAACGAACTGCTTCTCTCTGTGATCCAATCAATACACCAATGTGTACTAGTGTGACTAATCAGTCAAGATCAACTGCAGTGCTCACACTACAACCATTCCAATGGATTGTTCAATTTCTATCTAGGTTGTGAATCAATTGTTTATGTTTAGCAAGTAACTGAAAATAATCTTTTGCCATCCGTGATGAACTATTTACCTAAATGCAAATAAAGCAGCAGAAAATAGAACTTTATTTAATCAAATATGAATTCTTATTCAACATAAATAGTGTGAATCACATCAAAAGTGTAACGCCCCAAATCAGTAATAAGAATAAAAACGGTTTCACTGCTCGACTATAAGTGAAATCCGTATTTTCAGAATTATTCGAGTTATATTTAGTATGCTAAATGCTCAAATATGATAAATTATTCTTTGAATAATTCTATCTCAAGTTTAAGTTAAGATCAATCCATTAATTTGGATTGTTAAAATTATAGCGAATTGACTCGAGAAATTATCGGCTTCGAACCCTAGTTTGGTTCCGATTATTTTCAAGTTAATTCTCGAGCCTAGCCAAGTATTGATATTTTTATACTTAGAATAATTTTCTAAGTCTTGGAATATCAAGAAGTAAGTCTTGGACATTTTAAAATTGAGCCATAGTCCATACCCGAGCCACTCCTGCCGAGTCCCACACCCGCGCCTCGAGCCGCGCCCCAGAACATGCCACCGAGCCCAAGGCTTGTCCTAGCCATAGCACATTAGTCCTAATATTATTCTAAGTATGGGAGACCACCATGGAAGCCTTAACAAGTGAGGAGCCAGGCCCAAGACTCCGTTCCCGCACGCAGCCCGCGCTCTTGCGCCAGCCCAGCACGCCCTCGCGCCCAGGCCCAGTGCCGCGCCCAGCAGCCAGCGCCCAGCCCAGCGGCAGCGTGCACAACCCATCTTCTTGAGCCCAAATGATCAAGTCCCGACCCATTTTCATCCAAGACCCCTTCATACGTGTATTATACACTTAATAAGGATTAGTTTAAGCTTATATGGCCCTAAGAAAAGAATTAGCAAAGTCACAAGTAGTGGCCATTATTTTAATGTGAGTGCATGTGGGCTAGTGAATATTTTAATGTCTTGGGAAGTCCCTTGTCCCCCACCCTCGTGCCAGACCTGACCAGATGCACCTTGTCCCTCATTGTGCTCTGAATAATCCACATTTGACCATGCAAAAATGTGCAAAAGATGCCCCTAAACCTTTAAAAGGATCATTCCTCAGCCATTTTACAGCTCTTAGACACCTTAATACTCGAAAACATTAAGAGAGATCAAAAGAAACCGAGACTAAGGCCCATTGGCCCTTCACGCACGCGCCACGCCCGAGAGGAAGAAGCACCGTGCTCCAGGCATTTCCAAGCGGATTCTCCCAGGGCTTATCGACTTCCAAGTGTTTCTTGGATTTTTATAAGTTCTTTGAGTTCACCAAGTTCGTCCATTTCCACTTCCAAGGCGAGCCAAACCTCCAAAGCCGTGACTAGCCCTAACTTAAGCCCTAGTTCTCGTTTCCGACTTTTGGTGAAGGTTAGCTCGAGCTATCTTTTTACCTCAGCCTATTTATGATATTTTAGGATTTTTCATGAAGAAAAATCAAGCCATGCATGTGTTTAAGTGCAAGTTTCAAATTTTAAGATTTAATGGCCTTAAAAATGAAATTTTAGTAGCAAGCATGTTAAAGTCGAGATTGTTAGTTAAATCACCCTTAAATATTATATCTTTGATGATGTTAAAGTTTGAACATAAAAGGAGTTCATTAACTTAGTCAAATCACTCATGTAATTATGCTATTTTGGGCACCCGAGGCTTACCCTTATGCATGCAAGTTATGAACCATGTTCCTAGCCATTTTAGTCATCATTTGTGATGTATAACATTCTTCCCTGAGTAGATTTGTAAGTTACGAATGTTAGTTCCGAGGTCAAGTGCTCGTAAGTGCCGTATAAGCCCTAACGAGTATCATGCATGTGGACCCGGGGTCCACTAGGGTTTCATAGCATATTTGTGCCTATTTTATCATATCATGATATTGTGAGTTTCATGTCACCGGGAAAAGTCACCGGAGGTCCGGCAAAGGCCGGCCATGGCCACTGTCCGCGCACATAGCGCGGCAGTACCCGACCCCGTGCCAGCCCGTGCCAGTGTGTGCGAGGTAACAGCGCCCGCGACAGAGCGTCAGCAGCGCCTGTCCGCGTCGCACCCGAGGTCTCGGCGCCAGTCGCGCCTAGCACCTCCGACAGCGCCCGACAGCGCTGTCCAAGCCCATGCATGCGTGGTCCCGAGCCAGC